AATGTGAATTTGCATCCAACTGAGATTATGAATTGAGAATAAATTCTTTGTTTTGTAAAATATAAATGATAAACAAATTTTGCCAAACTTTGAAAGCATGAACTTTACCTACACGTAGCTAGCATAATAAAATAATTTTATAACTTAAATTTAATTAATGTTGTCGTTTAAAATTTTTAAATGTGTTGTTGCACAGATAATGCAATTGAACATTATAGGATGCATTCAGATTATGCAAGTGAAAATGGTAGGATGCATTTATGTTGCAATTGAACATTGTAGGATGCATTTAGATTATGCAATGGTAGGATGCATTTAGAGCAAGCAGTATCACCAAAACCAAATAATTATCCATCCTATAACTGAATTTTATAATCCAGCAAAAGGTTGAATAGATAAAGCAGATTACGTTTTCCTCCCAACACACACACACACACNCCATTGCTACATAATATTCCAAACTTTCCCAATACCACACAACTCAATGCACCATATGCACAATATATTGGTAAAATATGGGTAAAATCACACAACATGACATAATATATGTGGGTACAATCACATTACAGATTCTCGTATAGATAAATATCAGCATAAAAGGTTGTAAGTTGTCATGTAGTGGACAATAACAATCAACACCAATAAAATAACTAGAACATATAAACATATACTTGTAAACTCACATTAAGATGATGGAAGCTGACTTGTCTGACTGAGATTTTGAAGCATGATGAGAAGCTGAGAGTTAAGAATATCTTGCACTTGAGTTGAAACTTGAGCTTGTATGTGAATTTCTTGATTACTTAGTTGAGTTTCTAAGGACTTCAACCGTAAACCGTAAAGCCATCTCTTCACTTTACTTCTCTAGTTCTTCATTTTCTTTTCTCAGCTCCTCTTTGATTCCATATCCTCTTTTTGAAGGGGGTTTTAAGCCGTATCTACAACCACGCAGCCCATTAGGTTTCTCTTGCCCAAATACTTTAATGAAAGCTTCATCCTCATTGGTGATATCGTGACCATCTTCATTTACTTCACTTTGTAGGCGAATTATCTCCTCCTAAAACATTTAATTTTGTATTAGATTTTATACTTTAAACAAAAGTAATTTGCAAATATATATGAGAAACTCACATAAACTTCTCGTAAAGTTTTGTCCACCCACTCTTTTTTCTTGTTACTGTATCTAGTTTTTCTCCAAGCAGATGTTCTTGAGAGTTCTTCATTAGTTTCAGGGTCACGCTACCCAAAAATAAAAATAGCTTGTTAGGATTGGAAAATAAACATGAAATATATATCATTTCTCATTAAAATGTTAGTGTCATAGTGTTTTTTCAGTTGACATTATAAATGGCTAACATGAATATGAAGAGATAAAATTTTACAAAAAATAACATCATTATCCCTAGAAATTCAATTGATCACTTGATGAAAATATGAATAATCAACCACAGAAGAATAAAAACATCTTGAACAGTAAGTACCTATACAAAAGGATTGCCACTAAGTATTTTCCAAACATGTTGAACAGTAAGTAAGTACCTAGACAAAAGAATTACCACTAAGTATTTTCCAACTGCACGAAACAAATGAAAGTATGATATGAAGTTGGTGAGGTGAAAATATAACATAATGTCATTTTTACTTAATTAGCCAATTAAAAGTCAAGTTCAGGTTCATGTGAGTGAATGACTTATAATTTTATATCATGGAGCTAAAAAATACATTTTGCAAAGATGACGAATAAATAAAATGATCCATATATATTTCCATTTTTTTGTACACTTTAGTTTAACTAAGGGAACATTATAAATCATTACCTCTTCATAGAAATATTGTGCAATAGATTTTGTTCCGCATGTATGAGCCATCTTCAACTTCATCCTATTTTGCTTGTTCCTGGCACTAGTATTCTACAATTAAAGTAAAATTAAAAAAAAAAAGTAAAAAATCATTCAATATAAAGTTAGCAATGCTATTTTACTGTAATATTTTAATCTCCTTTTCAGTTTGTTTTTCTTTCTTCTTTTGAAAAAAATCTGACATCTTACATTAAAATGAAGATATTTGGATAGTGCAAAAATATGTTCATACGGAGAATATTTAAAATCTAAACAAGTCGAGACCAATGAAATATCTCTTTAACTTCTTTACCTTGAATGCATCATTCGCCTCAAAAAATTTTACCAAGATTAGCCAATAACTTGGACTTACTGAACCTGGAGGTTTTCCCAAAATATTCTCCCGATCCCTATGCTTGGTGTAATATATATGCAATTTGTGTCGATAAATCCTATACTGAAGATTCATTTGTTCAAAGACCACGTTCTTTACTTGAATATCGTCGACAAGATTAAACTTTTGCTGCAAAGAAGAAACATTTAATTAACAAGTACACATGCATTGTTGTTCTCAACATTTCTCTACTTTATAACAGGTATGTCATGTTGTTAGAAGTATAAGTGATCGATTATGTACATCATGCCATAGATACCTTCGTTGCTATCCACATCTTCATTTTAATATCCACTGGAATTTCTTTCCAACGAGCATATTTAAGTGGTGCATGTTGCTTAATAACAGTAGTAGCCTCTGTCTTGAAGTGTCTGGCATTATCACCAACTATTCAGTTCTGAATGGGATGGATGATTATGTCCAACTTTCCACTAGTAGTTTTGCGCCTTTCCTTTTCAACAGAAGCACCAGTTGTACTCCATCGACGTTTCGTTTTATATGGCTTCTGTAAGAATTTTTAACATTTATAAGTTGAAAACTATAGTACAACTTTTTTTCTAAAAAAAAAATAATAACATAAATTGCATGGACATTCTTTAAATATTTATGTATGAAAAAAGCAAATCATTATATAGGAAAGGACTAATATGGTTACCAGTTATGTTCTCTGGTTGCTCTGCAGCAACTTAATCTTGAGGACAAACTTGTGCATTTTCAGTGGTAACTTTAGGTATGAGTTGGTCTGCATTGGCCACTTCTTTACCTAATATACGGACACTACCATTTATGAGAAGAAAGAACAAATATATACATTGTTCAATATTTTGGTACTTTAATTGTTAGTAGACTTTCATTTAAAAACTCATTTAGGCAGGCAATATAAAAGCTTTAAATGCTAAAAAACTAAACAATTAAGAAATAGATTATAAGAATTCCATATAGATTAGCACTAGTTTGGTTTGATATCCATTTTTCTTTCTTTCAAGTGGAATAGAAACAACAAAACAAAAAGAAAGAGGAACCATAACATATCTAACATATCATGGAACATGAAAAATATACATGATGATATACTTTGAATTTGGAGTTAAATAAAATTCTTACTTGAAGAGATACAAATCTGCCTGCGTGTAGGCATGGGATTGCGAGGAGGAGGGTGAAGTAGGGGGTGTAGTAGAAACAGAGGACATGGTTAATCCCAGATGAAAATTGGTAGTTTCAGTTTATTTCTTTCTTAGAGCATCTCCAATGTGGTATGTTGTTGTGGTGAAAAATATGCCATGTAATCAATAATTCACTAGCCGTCCACATTTTGCCTTCCAATGACAAAATAAAAGATAAATGTTGTGCTGAGTTGGCCACAATTAATCTCCACACTGTGATAGAGAATGTAGAATATCTACAGCCTTCTCCACAGGATGACTAAGCAAAATTGGGGACAAGAGGCAAACCAATTCTCAAATTCGCAGGAAATCTTTGGGGGGAAAATTTGGCGGGTACCCAAAATTCTACCAATTGTGAAACTAGAAAAAATAATTTCTCTTCTCGTGCATACCACAAAACAAATCTGGTAAGTGACTTTTGTCCTCATCGTGTATGTGGCCAGGTTTGATATATATTTTCTTGGAATAAATAGCATTTTTTTTTTCCTTTTCACTCTTGATATTATTCAATTACTGTAGGATTTGGTTGATTTGAATTGAATTTGGTTGAATTACTGTGAGCTTGGCGATAATTTTTGCATTCCAGATCTGAGAATTTTTTTCTAGGTTTCTTGAATTGTTTTGAGGTAATTTGTCTAATTACATCCTTTTCCATGAGCCAGAGACTGAAGTTCAAGTTATTTGTGTTTCATTATTATTATTTATGTTTATGCCTGCTTCTCTAGTGATGAGTGCTTCAAAAAAAAAAATAGTTTACATAGACCATTGTGAAAAAGTAAAAAGAAAAGAAAATATTTTTTGACAACCTAACACAGTAAATAGTGTTCTGGAAGTTCAATTTGACAACAACAAAGATAATTTGTTCCTTATGATTAAAGACTAATATAGAATCCATTATAATATAATTTGTATGATGAACAACTGAAGGAGTATTCACTTTATGGATGTATTTAGATGGACTAAGTCACCGTTCTGTTGAGCCTAATAGGGAATCAAGATTTTGTATGAATGTCATCCTAATTAATTATGAATTATTTAGGGAAGATTAGAATTTGTTTTTTCTTTATTTTTTAACAAAATAACTCATCATACATGCTGGGATTTGTTTTTGGAGGAAACAGTTGGTATTCTATTTTCCTTAAGCTTTTTGTCTTCAGTTTTGATTCTTTTATTTTTCTTTCTGTGGACAAATTACTGACTGTATGATTTTTTTTTATTATATGACTATGCTCATATAGATCACAGCAGAACCCCCAATTCCTTTTTAGACAACCCACATGATTGATAGAGGACACTCTGCACTGTTTTGTTTATTATTTTGATTTATTTTTTTTTAATGTCGAGAGAATCTGAGGTGATGTGAATAGACATATAAAACTTTTATTGTGAGGAAAAGGAGAAAAGAATAAGGAGCACGAAAAAATGTAGGATATTAGTCTAGTACATGAAGCATGGTTGAACCTCAGACATGCGAGAAAAGAAATATAGGATACATATTTGAAATCATGTTTAATTTTTTATTTAATATCATACTTGCATGTAACTTTTTTTATTACATTATTATTGTTTTGTTTAACTTATTCTAAATTTTTCTTGTTTGTGAAGATGAACAGGGATCCACAAGATTCCAATATCATGTCAAATTCGGATCAGAACTCTAACTATGACTTGGCATCTCAATTTCCAAATCCACATGTTCATCCCAACTCAGAATCTCATCCTCCTGGTTTCCATTTAAATTCAACTAATGAATTATATCCTTCTCATGTTGACCTACAATATGGAGCCACTCCTACATTTCAAAGCCTGCTAAACACGCCAATAGTTAGAAATCCAATGGTATTCAATCAAAGCGGTGTTAGCAATGCTCATTTCCCTATCTACACTCCAACACCCAGTTTTCAGACTCATGGTAATACTTCATTGGGTAGCAACCGAACTCCAGCTAGCACTCCAATGGTTACTTCTAAAATTTGTGGTAACACCACGTACATCAGCAATCAGAATCAAGCGACATCAAAAGGATTAAAAAATAGAGTTAAAGATGTCCAAATATCAAGTGGCAAAAAGAATTGGGGTGTAGAATAAGAAGCTTTGACGAACGCATGGTTGAATGTGTCTTTGGACCCTATTGTGGGTAACAACAAAAAAGCTACTGCTATGTGGGTTCGTATCCATCAAGTATGGAAGGAAAACATGGGGCCTATATGCAAATATCTTAGATCGTCTAATAGTTTACAATGTCATTGGTCCATAATACATGCAGCGGTAAGCAACTTTGCAGGACATTATTCTAAACTAGAGAGGCATCCTCAGAGTGGTACAAACTCAAAAGACTTGGTAAGTATATTATGTTACATTCAATTTTTTCGTCATATGTAAATTTTCTTGTAACCAATCGTTGCATTTTTCATGTCTTATTTATTATCTTGTAGATTCACAAGGCGTTGGGTATGTACGAGGATATAGAAGGTAGCAAATTCAAATGGATTCATTGCTGGGAAATAATGATTAAAAATCTGAAATGGCAGCCGAAACATGATAAGAACATGGCACCAGATAGACAAACGGATGAAGAAAACAAGTCACCTACATCTGAAGTGCTTCGATCATCGAAAGGGATTGGTGGTTGTCGCAATCTTCCTTCTGAAAGGGTTGAAAGCGAGTTGGAGAAGATAGTCTTTGCTGAATATCTTAGATGAGAACATAACGCCTGAAGGTAATAACTGTGATGGTGTGGGACGACCAACAGGAAGAAAAAATAGTAAAGAAAAGAAGAGAAAATTGCATGATGAAAAAGGTGTGGTGGATGCATTAAACAAGTTGCAGTCCATTTTGGCAAAGCAGATTAGTATTAATGAAAAAAGTTTGGAGATGAGAAAGCAAAATGAAGAAGAAAATATCGAGTTGAAAAGGCAAGCACTAAATAGGGAGATGGAAATGAAGATGAAGGAACAAAGGAGAAAACGGCAAAAAACGGATAATGAACCAAGACTTGAGTAAGCTAACACCTGTAGCTAGAACTGCATATGAAGTCATGCAAGCAAAGAGTTTTAAAGAATGGGAAAAATATGATATATTTGAAACTGATATGGCAAACTCACAGGTATATTACTATGTGTTTTTTTTATTAAATTTTAAGTAAAAAAATATATTGATAAATAATTTATCTTTTTCTTATATTCAGGATTTTGAGGCTTGAATAGAAGACTTGGCCTGATATTAGAGTTGTGCAAGATTACCATGTTGAACTAAATGTTGTTATTTTCCTTAAAAATTGTTTTAGTTCTTTTATTTTTATGTATGTCAGTCTGATTTAACAAGATGTCCTGTGGTGCATTTTGTTCATGAAGTGTCAAATATCAGATGACAAAGGCATTTCATGCGTCATCACATGAAGGCTATCATCATGTAAATGCCAATGCTTTGTTCATGAATGATGAAATCAGTCTAGATACTAGAAATATATGTGAGAGTGGTTGATTTTTGCTCACCGAGTGCTTAATATGCTCCATATTTGTATGTGCTAGTCAGCTCAAATTTTGTAGTCTTATCATTGCCTATTTTATTTCCCAAATATATACACACAGAGACACACACCCACACACAAACACACACATATATATTAATTCCAGCTTTTCATGTCCATTAATTTAATGTAACTTAAATAGTAAACATGATGTTCTCAATCTTATTGTTGAGACACTGAGCACATTAAAATTTGCCCAACGTGACAAATTTATTAAAAATCATGTAACTAGCTCTTTGACTCTTTCTATTATAGCTTCTACTATAGATTTATTGAATGGAATATATTCTTAAGAAAAAAAATTGTTGAAGCACAAGAAAAGCTTACTTGATCCATACAAACATTAACCAAGTTCAGCTCGCTCGAGCGAGCAATAGTCGAGGATCGCATGAATTCAGAAAAAAATTAACGAGGAGAAAAGTGTCCAGGTGAAAAAGCAGGAGCATTAAAATTTGTATATTTCTCATTGACCAATCTTCAGAAAAGAAAAGACTTGGCTTGCAAGAAACCATCAGCTCGAAAGCACTCTCTAGTGAACTTTTATTCTTCAATCACTTATTTCGAGCTCTAGCAAGATCGAGATTAGTTTCTTCTTTGAAAAACTTAACCCGAAAAAAGGAGGAGCTCAACTGTCTCGAGCTGTCCAGAGAAGATTTGACCAATGCTCTCTCAAAAACATGAAGAACCAAGTATACATACATCAGCCCCATGATAGTTTGATGGTCTTAGTTTATTATAATTCTTCAGGTCAAAGTATTAAGATAATACATCAGATGATTCACAGATGAGAGTGTTAATAACATATACATGTCTTGCTCAGAATAAATTAGAGTTTTTGCATTCACACAATTAAACTAACACTTGAGTTTATCACACCACCATCAATGAAATAATATTTTCTCAATAATAATAATAATAATAATAATAATAATAATAATAATAATAATATAATAATAATAATAGAACAAATAAAAGTACAAAAGTAAACTCATATTTTTAAGTTCAAGATGCAATAATAATTTAATCAATTTGTTGACCACCATGTAAGTTCCATAAGTGGTCGATGAGATCAGTCTTTAACTCCCTGTGTACTCTTTTGTTTTGTATCTCCTTCATTCTGCTTATCATTCTTGACACGAGATAAGAAAAATCATGCTCTGGAATGACATTATCATTTACTTCATTTCGCCTAATTTGTTCTGGCTGCCAACTCTCGGAATTCATGCCTTGGTTAGTTTCATTTTCAATAATCATGTTGTGTAATATGATGCATGTCTTCATAATTTTCTCCAAATCTTGAGCATTCCACATAGGTGCTGGCCCTTTAACAATATGCCATCGACTTTGCAAAACACCAAATGCTCGTTCCACATCCTTTCGTGCAGCTTCTTGCCACTTGGCAAATAACTTCTCCTTCATTGAAGATGGACTAGAGATGGTTTGAATTAAAGTTGCATATTGTGGGTATATTCCATCTGATAAGTAATACCCCATATTGTAATGATGACCATTCACTACGAAGTCACATGTTGGAGCTTTTTCGTTAATAAGATCATCAAACAATGGAGACCCTTCTAAGACATTAATATCATTATTAGTACCGGCCATTCCGAAAAATACATGCCAAACCCATAAATTTTGTGAAGCAACAATCTCTAAAATAAGAGTCGGAACTCTTTAAAACCATTAGTATGTGTTCCGTGCCAAGCCGTTGGACATTTTTCCAATGCCAATGCATGCAATCCAAACTACCAAGCATCCCTGGAAATCCACGTCTCTCTCCCTCTTCCAACAACCCCGCAATATCTTTTTCGTTCGGTTTTCTTAAATACCTTTTATCCAAAGATACCAATTATAGCATCACAAAATTTTTTCAAGCTCTCAATCGCAGTGGTTTCCTGAATATACTCATCAAGAGAATCTGCTGAACAACCATATGCCAACATTCGTATTGATGCAAGCATTTTTTGTAAAGGAGTTAATCCAGGCTTCCCTACGGCATCAAACTTTAGTGTGAAATAACTGTCATAACTTTGAATTGCTTTTGAAATACATTCGAACAATTCAATGGTCATTCGAAAACGACAGCGAAATTGGTCAGGAGTGTATTTCGAATTTTCGCCACTAAAATAGTCTTTGACAATTACATCATGTTGTTTTCTATCACGCCATGACGACCTTTTTCTTTGACCAACATCGTCGAAACTATTAAAGGGACATGGAGTAGACATGTTTGAATCAAATCCAAATCTGTTCCTGTATCGAGAGTGTCATCTCCTATAGGCTCATCTAATAGTTTTTTAGTCAACGAAAGTTCGCAATCACTGTATGATGAACTATTGGAGTCTGAATCATAACCAAAATTTGCCATCTATTCTTTGTTAACCTGTAAAAAAAAAATAAGCCTCGTAGAAATTATCAACAATATTAATCTATATAATATAAGTAAAGTACTTATGTTAATCTTGTGGTAATCAAATATAATTGATCAAATAAACAAGCCAAATGCATATTACAGGCAACCAAATAAATAAATACTACAGAATGAATGTAACATCAAAACATACACACTCCACAGAAAAATATAGAAGTATGATTAAAAAAATGAAAAAAATGAATAAATGGAAGGTGAAAAATTTACCTGCGCAACTTAATCTTTAAATTAGATATCTGAGTAGATAGGCCAAGCCTTCAATCTTGATATTAGAATTTAGAAGACTGAGTAGCCGCAAAGCTTCTCCGTATTTTTTTTTTATTAATTTGTTTATGTTCTACATGGTGTTTAGGAGATTAATAATCTGTCTTTGTACAAAAAGAGGGGCCCAAAATTTGGGTTTATTGAAAATTTAAGCCCAACGTAAAAAAATTATCAAAAGCCCATAATATTTAAGAGTTGTTTACATTATGCATTGAGGGACACGTAGAATTTGAGAAGTTGTGGAATAAACAACTATATAATGTGGATTCACATCACCTCTATTTAATTGATACATAGCAAAATTAATTTATCCATAACATCCAACACCGAAGATGCTCTAAATGAAGTATATTAAAAGAAAAGGAGGGAACATATGATGAGTCATGAGACTTGGGGATTGCTGGAAGTTGTTCAGGAACCATTTCGCAATTTGGGTTAATGAATAATTAAATTTTTAACTTCCTTATCTAAAAATATCTAATCTAATATAATATTAATCTCATATAGCTCTATTTTTGAGCAGAAAAAGTAAACATAACAAAATTATTGTATACATATTATACTCACAGAATACTCAACCTATTAATATAGAAATGTATTTGAAATATCAAGAAAACTATAAATGTTATGAATATTGTCCTAACAAAACACCCTTATCCAGAAAAACCTCCTCTCAATTTCAATCCCACCAACATGTGTACCTTTGAGAAGCGCGGCCAGCTCTTCATCCTGACCCTCACCGGAACCACCAAAAAACTTTTGTGACATTAAATAATTGTCATAAAAATTATCATTATTATTGTGATGATAATAAAATTATGTTTTTTTTTTAACAAAAACTTTTGTGACATTAAATAATTGTCATAAAAATTATCATTACTATTGTGATGATTAATAAAACCCAAAAAAATTGACAATAAATTTTTAGTGATGAAATATTGTGACAATAAAATTTTTTGTCCCTCTATCTTAACATTTCTAATTATAGTGACATAATAAACAAATTATTTATTTGAAATTTAGTCATGATATTATTTATCATCTCTATTTAATGTAACAATTGTGACAATTTTTTTTTTCCGCCAACGCAAAATAAATGGCGCCAAATTCTTAGTGATAATGTGTAGTGACAATAACCAAAATTGTCACTAATATTCATCACTCTCAAACCATAGTGACAACAGATAAAATTGTCACAATAGACATGTTTTCAGTGACAACATTTGTACTCTCACTGATTTTTCATCACTACATGTGTTATTTCTTGTAGTGGACCTAGGTCACTTAGTACGCGGGTCGCGCTGTGCGCATGGGCACTGGGGTACTAGGACGTCGTGCGTAGGATGTTGGGACCCTGAGGCATCGCGCGGGGACGCTGGAGCTCTGAGACGGGTTGTGCGGGGCTCGCAGATCGTGCGAGAAGAACTCGGGTCACGCTGGGTACGTTCGGGGACAACGTGCACAGGCGACGCGCGCTGGGTACTTGTTGGGCACGGTCACGGACCTGGTCGCAATCGGGGCTGGCTGGCTGGCAGGCGTCGGGTCGCGACTGAGATGCGGCTAACTACAACAGGTACGTGATGATGATCGTTGGTCTTTTGTGGTCATGATCCTCGATTTTCATGAAGAACGAACAACTGCAGATAAATGTATATATTTCTGGGATACAAATATATTGCACGGGATACGGACAGAAGACATCAAAATCTTATGTTGTATTACCCAAACACCTTCTCCGAACGATCTTGGAGAAGTGATCGAACAAAGCTCTCAAATCTCACAAACTCTCAAGAAATCTCAAGGTGGTCAATCAGTTCTCTTGGGAGAAGCCAATCGTGTGATTGATTTTTCTTATCTTTGGAAGCTTGAAATTTGGTGTATTTGTAGGCTACAATAGAGACCATAAGAATGTGTTAAATATGGGCTCCCCAAGCATGAGCCCAACTGCAGGCCAAGCCCACTTCGCTCAATACTCGAATAATAAATCATTACATTTAAGAAATATTATTGCAATGTCAAATTTAACTCCGAATTATAATTAATTCATTTTCTGGTTTGTTGCCCTATTTTACATCCCCGTATTTAATATCTAACATCCATTAATTAATATAATTACTGACGATATAATTAATAAACTTCTATATCCGAAGCTAGTACTTCTCAATTCTTTATCATTATGTTGAAACTTAATCCGCCTGTAGGCTTAACATAACGATACTTCTTGAGCTCACTTCGAGGACTCATCAACCCGGTCTCACGGGATATGGAGACCCTAAACAAGATTGACGGCACATCATCCAACCGACATTACTTACTAAAATATCGAGTATGTCGACCAACCAGAATAAGTTTCACCCTTGATAAATCAAATGAGTAAGTGTCGACTACATATGCTCGTACATTATCTTGCGGGTTAAGACTATGCAACAAATAATTAGGTCTAAATTATTTACTTAGTTAGTATAAAATAATTTTATCCTTCTGTGGGCCTTTCAATACATCTGAGATGTACTAGTGTAATCAATTAATCTAAGATCAAGTAATTCAAAGATCATACTACAGTCTTTCATGAAAGGGAGTTCAATTCCTGTTTAGACTGTGAACCATTATTTATATTTTTCAAGGAACCGATAATATGATCTTACTGTTTTAGACCCTCACCATATTATCTACAATATAAAGGAACAATGTTTGCATAACTAAACTGACTGCAAACATGCATTTGACTAAAACGCGAGTTATCATTCAAAATGGCATTATCAGAAACTGAAAGTCGAGCTTTTAAAGTATACACCCAACAGTATAAGAAGATAGAGGACATGAACGCACTTCCTTATGCATCGGCTGTATGAAGCCTTATGCATGTAATGTTGTGTACGAGGTCGGATTTCTGCTGCCCGTCGTCATGGATAGCAAATATTAGTGTAACCCTGGACAGGGGTATTGGTCTATGGTGAAGCATATACTCAAGTAGCTGAGAAGGACTATGGATTATATGCTAGCATACTAGGCAGATCAACTGCTGTCATTGGGTTACGCTAATTTCGACCTGCAATTCGACAAGGACGAGAGAAAGTCTGGTGGAGTCATAATTCGGTGGAGTGACAAGCAGAAATTTGTGGCAGACTCCACCATGGAATTCTAGTACGTCGCGACATTAGATGCAACGAAAGAAACAGTTTGGTTCAAGAACTTTCTGTTAGACTTGGAAGTGGTTCTGAGTTTATCCGTGGGGATTATGATTTACTGTGATAACAATGGTGCAATAACTAACTCGGACAAGCCATGATCCTATAAGGCGAGTAAATGCATAAATTGCAAGTGCCACCTAATAAAATGAGATATAGTAGAAAGAGGAGAGGACGTGGTTGCCAAGATAGCGTCAAAGGACAACCTTGTCGATCCTTTTACGAAGAGCTTATCGGCGAAAGTGTGCGATAAACACGTAGAATGAATGAGAGTCTGATGTATGGCAATAAGACCGATTTAATTTCTTTGAGAATAGAATTGCAAGATGTATACTTAAAAAAAAAATGAGCTTTCAACATAAGTTAGAGATTGTTAGTTTGTATTCTAAAAGCTTGACTTTATTCACACGCACCCACAATAATAATTATAGCTAACTCTCAATAAGAGAATTTAGATCCAAAAGGAATAATA